TTCATTTTTCTGCTGTATATAGCAGGCCCTCAAGTAGATCAAATAAGCACATATCAATGACATATAAATGTAGCCACAAAGAGGATTAGTCCTCGGACCAAGTGATTTCAATAGAGCCAACATCATCAGGATCAGAAATACCCAAGGCTTCCCACACAGCTTTTGAACCATCAACAATGTTGTTAGGACATGGAGGCTGGTAGTCATGGTCGTCATCACATCCCATAGTCGAGTCACATTCATCGACAACCATGGCTTGTACGCTTCGACCATTATACCTAACGGTGATGTTGTTGAAGCACCTACTCCCTCCATCGTACCATCCAGTCGAAAGAGCCACGATCGGTATGCTATTGGAGTGGTAGTTGTCATCACACTCTGATGGACCGCCACCATCTCCACCCTTCTCAAAGCTGTTTATAGTAAGAGTAGCTCTTGTTTCTGAAGTAATTGAGGGCGAACACTTGTATGTTTTGTACTTCTCGCCTGCCTTGCAGCAATCAGAATCATTTTCTTGATTGCATTGCCCTGGAGGGGGTGTTTTGCCTGTAATCGTCCCGCTTGGCCTACAGGCCCCAAGTTTGGTAGGCGTAGCCTCTGAAACATTGAAGTAATTTGCTAGGAGAATCAAGAGCAGTAAAAGGGGTGCTGGAAAAGTAATGCTTCTCATTTTTGGTTCTTTAGGCAGGCAGCAGGTATTGAAATGTTGTTTGATGGATGATGCAGTTACAGGATCGAATGAGGGGTTAATATACAGTTCTGACAAGTAAAATGCCAAGACTGTGCTCAAAGATCATTTGGCTTGTGATCTCTTGCATTCAAGAAGTCCAAAGGAGAAGTCAAGCAGATTGTATATGGCCGTACGCGGCATGCCATTATCAGTGCGAGTGTGAAAGTCATCAGTCGCTAGCAAATGAAATAACCAAGTTGGCACGTCAAGAAGGTATTTCTCTTTCAACTATACTTCCACGGCCGGATCAGGTCTTTTCCTGAATGATAATGTGGCAATGTTAATAGTAGAAGTCATGACAAAAACTGACTTGAAGAGGATGGAACATGGATAATGGTTGTCCCCTTTTTAAGTCAGGTTATGGATGAAATATTTCTTGATGCTACTTTAGTTGTCTTGAGTAGAGTATAAATACCTCATTATTTGGGAAAAAATTATTCAATCGCATCATAAACACGTTTCCTAATCATTTAATTTTCTTTCTAAATATCTTTTTTATTTAACATACATTATATCACAAGAATATTCTAATTTATTTTAAAAAACTGTTCAAAATGGTCATTCAACTAATCAATACATATTTTTTGTGATCAAAAGATGTATGTTTTCAATAGTTGAGTGACTAAAAATGAAAATTTTTATTAATCGAGTGCCTAAAAAACAGACGTTTTTATTAGTTAAATGATTTTTTTCCATCAAGAAATTAAAAATGTGCATTTTTCATTTGTGAGGGACAAAAAATTATCACCACACATATAAAGGACTTAAATTATACAAAATCAATATGTTAGAGACGAAAGAATAACATTTCACATATAAAGGACGTAAAAGGTACAAAGCCAACCTGTGAGAGATTATTTCTATGATTTTTTCAAAAAAAAAAAAGACTTAGATACCAAGATTGGAGAATCTATATAATTTAGTGATTTTTTTTTGGCACATTAAAAATGAAAAAAAATAATTTTATCAACAATTCTGAAATACCACAAATGCCCTCAAACATGCTCCTATTTTCAATTTTCACTCTCGAGTCACATGACTGTAATTGTTAACTGCGGAAACAGGCAGATTTGTAACACTGAAAACCCCAGTCGCTGCTGTGGAAGGAAAACCCAGAAGAGCGAAAGGGTTTTATAAATCCAGGCATTTGCAAGAAAAAAACCCTAATCAATCATCTTTACAATCGTTCTAATCAAACAAGATTTTCATATAATTAAGACGCATATACAGACATTCAAGAGTGTGAGTGTGGGAGAAATCTGGGAAAAATGTCGTTTAGGTCGAGGGAAATGGTGAAGAGGATAGTGAAGAAGATAGGGGGTGAGAAAAATCTGGCACCCGGACTCAAAGATGAGCTCAAGAAATCCGTACCCAATTCCAAGGTCGTCATGGGTCGGGCCAACCGCGGCCTCTACGCCGGCCGCCATATCCAGTTCGGCAACCAAGTCAGCCACGACGGCGGTAACAAGTCCGTTCTCCTTTTGCAACCTAAATCACATTTCATATCTCATCGCCATACTTTAGACATCTTATTAGTTACTCCCACCCTGTTCATTTTCGTACTTTCGGTAAAGTTTTCTCATTTCGACTCTTTTTCTTTTTGGAATTTATTTTAAATTTCTGGGCTTTTCGACATTTTAGTGCTTTGTCATCTTTTTTTTGTTTATTGCGATTGTTTCTTGACCGGGAGAAATGCGTCCGCTGGGTGTGTTTGTGTTTTGGTCCTTTTCATTTTATGGGAATTTGTATTGTGTGAAAGATAGTGGAGGAAATTGGAAAGCGTGTTAACATGCAATTTACCGAATGTTTACTGTGTGATGCTTGATATGCTATGTGTTTAGAGTTGTATTTGAAGCTCTGAACTGTACATGGAGAAATTAGATACTGGCCGAGCAGATGCTTTGATGCTGAGAATGAAAAACTTTCATATTTCTGATCAAATGCAGTTTGACATATACCACTTTGGAGGAATTTAAGATGACATTGATACTTGAATTATAGCATTTCCAGTTCCTATTATTAATAGTCCAAGATCAGAGGTTTTTTCTTTTTTCTTTCTGTGGTGAAGTGTCTGTTGATGTAATTATCTAAGGATCCTTGTCACTGTTTAGTCAATTGAATTATGATATGAGGGTGTGTCAAGGTATAACCATTGAAGTCACATGGAGATACGGAACTGGTAAGCAATTTTAACTCCTTGATCTTTCAAGATGCCAAATTAAGCATTCACTGTGTTGATAAATCTGCATCTCTGTTTTCTCAATGAACTTTAGTACGAGGACAGAACAGGATTCAGTAGTGCTTTGTGCTAAACTGCAGGAATTAACCAAACTTTCTAGAGCAGTTATTGCAGGAGCATTTACAAGTTTTTGTGCTCTACATAGATTCATTTTGTTGTCTTTTCCCATTCTAACTAAAGGTATATCTAGGAAATTACCTATGAAATGATGAGAAATTGACCTGCCAGAGAACTCTTTGTTTGGTTAAACTGATAGGTCAAGGAGGTCATGGAAGCCCAATGTACAGGATAAGCGGCTATTCAGTTACATCCTAGATCGTCACATTAAGGTAAAAGTAACCACTCATGCCCTCCGCTGCATAGACAAGGCAGGTGGTATTGATGAGTACTTGCTGAAGACACCATACCATAAGATGGACACTGAAATGGGACTCTACTGGAAGGCTAAGATTGAAAAATTGTATGAAGAGCTTGGCGAAATGGAGGTTGTTTTCTTTTCACCTGAAGATGAAGCCAAATTTGAAGAGCAATTTAGAGAGTTGAAGCTAGAACAGAAGGCAGCCCGCAGGGAAGCCAGGAGAAAGATGTATGGTTGGTCAGGTAAATCAGAGGCAATAGACGAAGGAAGAGCAGATGCCGAGGGAACTCATCAAGAAGCTGCCAGACATGGAGAAGGAAGCTCAGATGCTGATATTCATGAGCCCCAGGTTGCCAATGCTTGAATGCTGGATTGTCTCTTGCAATGCTGTTGGATTTTAGTTATAGTTCCTTCACATTCTGAAACTTCAATTTTGTTGTATATTTTGCAATTTTGGAATCAACTCCCGTATGTCAAAGATGATGGTGCAATTGGCACTTGCCATATGACGCAGGAACTAGTAGATCTCTTTTAGCATATGGATTGGCATTCTTACTTAATGGGGTTTCTGTATATAAAAATGTGCCATCAGATTTGATAAAGAGCCTCTGCTGAAAGGGGGGCGGTTTTGATCGTCAATATGACGTTCTTAGAAATTAAAAGTTAGTTCTATAATAATACATTTTCTAGCATCTAGCAATTCAAGTAATTTCCATCTCTGATTCATACGAGGCATCTTTTTAGTTGTTTCCCCCCCTTTTTTGGGTCAAACGTCAAGATGCAAGGCATCTAATATATGATCAAGTCATGTAGAAGGGTAATAACAAAAAAAGCCATGTAGAATGCCAGGTAATAATAAAAAAAGCCATGCAGAATGCATAGGCTAATCATGTACTGGTACAGCCTTGGTTTGTGACTACCATTCTTCATACTTGTGTTTCTGGTTTTAAAGCATCCAGTTATTTATTACCCTGCGTCTCTGCTGTTCTGCGAGTGAAGCACACTGTGTCTTTAGAAAGTAATTTGCCTAAACGCATACAACTCGAAGGATGTTCTTGTACCAATCAACCTCTCGATTTCTAAGAGTTTGATTTTTTTTTTTTTTTTTTCATCTACCAATCATTTACTGCAAAGTTCTCGTACCTATAGTGTCCTTTTACCACCTAAGTGCTTGAAGAGTACGCTGGCACAGGTGGAAAAGGTCACAGCACACCATGACAATGCAGTGACTTCCACAAGGATATCTAAACCGTTGAGCAGTGGCAGCTGCAAGGTTAGCATCCCATGTTCTGGCCAGCTAAAATGGAATGTTCTCTGGTGACTGATTATCTCTTCGCCATAGAAATTCTTGTCAACTGCCTCAGGTACCAGTCCAAAATTTGCGGGCATATGGCTAACCTAGCATTTGAGAGCTACAAGGCTGAGGTGAAGTTCCGACTTGAAATCCTGTTCTGCTTCCTCAATACTGGTGTTTTTTGAGATGTTGGAGCTGGAGCTTATGGAGGACACATCATTTATAGCGCTAGTGATTTCGACTGCAGCATATCTGATGATATACCCGCCTCAGTATTTCAAGGCTGAAATTGAGCACCGCAAAGCCAAAAGTTGGAATTTAGTAACTTTGTGCTTTTGATAGGGTAAAAAATCTTGTTTGACATGAGATTAACACACTCAGGTCGTCCAGAAGGTAAAAACTTGTTACAGCTGTCATTGCATGGTTCAGAAACCATAATAAACTGATAATTAATGACATGCCTGCTAATGTTTAAACAATATTAGAAAAAAGCAAAACTGTCTCTTCCCCGTAATTGGCATCAATGTTGGCCAAGTGTTTTCACAGCATCAGTGGAACTAGCATTGCTTGTGATAGATAAGACAATTTACCATAATTTCCTTTTGAAAAAATAAGAGACGTGGAATGCTGCAAATTGGAAGAATGATCCATGGACTCTCTGTAGTCACAGATCAGCTGTGAATCTAATGATCTGTTTCATTTCAAAATGGATTACCCCAAAAATAACACATCTCAGATTCATTTCTTCAAATATATACTTGGAAGATGATTCATTTATCCTCATTGCTCTGTTCTGCATCAATTGTAGCGAGGCTTTTTAGTTCATGCGACTCACCTTTGGCAGCAGAATTCATCTATTCATATGGGAAGTACGGCACTGTCTTTCTTCCCAAGGATTTATGTACCTTTGGAGCTGACTCTGATTGCACTGGACTGCTCAATACTTTCTTTTACTGAAAGACAAGACGTCATATGGACTGAAAGCAATGGAGCTAGGAGGAGAATTCACAAAAATCTTTCATAAGGGACAACAGATAAAGTATCAATGGATATCTCCAAATTTGGAGAATGGAGCCTGTTCTAACATCAATAATCAGCCAAACTCTACACAAACAAGAAGGGAGAGATTTGGGTGGATTTTGCATGTGAAAGACGGCGAAAGCGAATGCAGTACAAGCAGCTCACCTATTTTATCCTGTGGGGAACCTCTTTTCGGTTCTTCTGGAAGTCCTTTCTTTAAGCTGTATTTCTGTCTAGTGTATTTCATCTTTCTGATTACCAGTAATCTTTACAAGAACAGATTCCATTTTCAAACTTATGGAACCTATTGGCATCTCTAATCAGAAACACCTTGCTCAAAATCATTGACAGACCCTTAATAAATTCATGACAATCCCCACAAACCCTCAAGTTTTTGAAAATTCGAATTGGCTTTTTGTCATCTAGTCCACCACAAACCAGAGCCAGTCCAATGGCCAACTTCTCACTGTGAAGTCTCAAGCCTTCTTGCTTTGACTCCTCTTCAACATCGTGCAATGAAAAACTTGTGTCATATGCATAACCTATCTCTTCTTTCATTCTTTTCTCCATTTCTTTCAGAATATCATGGATGCTTTCAAAAAGTGGGTGTGCATCGTCTCCGTTATAGAAGAAGTGGATCTGTTTATCAATTTCAACCCAACTACGTCCTGCTTCTTTCTTCAGACCTTTTGCCTTCACTATTCCTCTTAATTTCTCACACTCTTTCCAGCAACAAGCATCAGCAAAAATATTTGACATCATGACATAATTAACTGGATTGTCACTGTCCAGTCTCAAGAGGATTTCGCCTACTTCTCTTCCAATCTCAACATCTCTATGAACTCTGCAAGCACTAAGCAATGTCTGCCATATGCCTATATTTGGTTTTAGAGGCATGTTCTCAATGAGATGTTTTGCTTCTCTCAAACGTCCAGCTCGACCTAGGATATCAGCCATGCAAGCATAGTGCTCTACCCTGCGTTTTAGTCGATGATCGTTACAAAATCTTCTGAAGTATTCTTGGCCTTCTTCAACAAGTCCAGCATGGCTACAAGCTGAGAGTATAGCCAAGTAAGCTACTGCATCGGGCTCAACATTTTCCAACTGCATTCTCTTGAATAGATGAATAGCTTCGGTACCAAGACCATGCTTTCCGTATCCCGTGATCATAACTGTCCAGGAAATGACATTTTTTGCCAGCATATCACAAAAATACCTTTCAGCTTCTCCTATCAGACCACATTTGAGATACATATCAAGAATTGAATTGGCTACAGAAATGTCTGTACGGGTAGGTTTCTTTTCTGCATATGCATGCATTTGCTTTCCCAGCTCTACAAGAGCAAAATCTGCAAAGACGCCCATCATGCTTGAGACTACAAACCCATCAACAGGAATACTACTATTCCGGAGCTCTCTGAACAAGTCCAGGGCCACAGATAGATTCACTTCCTGAGCATATCCTATTATTAGCGCTGTCCAAGATATAACACTCTTCTGTTCAACGTCATTAAACACCTTATGCGCTTCAAATAAACGTCCACATTTGACATACAAATCAATTAGAGACCCTGAAACGATTTTCTGGTTAAGAAAAGGGATTCCTCTCACAGTTAGAAAAGCATGGATTTGAGTTCCCTCAAGGATGGCTCCAGAAACAGTACAAGCTTTTAATGTGCTTGTGAATGTGTATTCATCTGGTATTTCTCCCTGTTTTTGCATCTTTTTGAACAACAGCAGAGACTTCGCACCCTCCCCTTCTAGGGCATAGCCAGCTATCATCACATTCCAACTTATTAAACTTCTGATAGGCATAACATGAAACAAATATTCAGCATCAGATATTTGTCCACTTCTCGAGTACATATCAATGATCGAATTCCCAACCACAGGATACCACTCATATCCTCTTTTACTACACAAACTATGAATCTGCTTCCCGTTTACCAGAGCACCCAGAATTCCACATGCCTTAAAATTTGTCGAGAAAGTAAATTCATTAGGCTTAACGCTTGAAAGTCCCATTTCACGCAAGAGCAATAAGGGTCGTCTGGCATCACCCTCTTGCAAATACCCACACATCAATGCTGTCCAAGAGACAACATTCCTATCAGGCATTCTATCAAACACAGCGCGAGCGAATTCAATCCTACCACATTTTCCATACAGATCTATGATGTCGTTGTTGATCATCAAATCCAACCCATAACCCTTTCTCACTACAGCTCCATGAACTTCCTTCCCCTGATCATACAAAAAATTCTTGGAGCATTTTCTTAATAGTTCAGCCAATCTTTGACGTTCACTCATCAACAAACTTGCACCTTGCTGCATTATACTACCAAAATACTGTTTGCCTCTTTACCTGAATTTCTGAAACGAGAATCAAACAACTTAAGCACCACTTCTCGAGTCTTTTCCCTTTGACTTTTGAAACGCCAAAAGATTGCCAGTTTAGTTACCGCGGCACCTCGAGATGTCATATTCCGTTGTTCTGACAATTCAGTCTAGTGACCCTTTCTCGGGAATGAACCCCAAAATGTAATCTGTGAGACCTGTTCGATAAATTTCCTGAATGAGGAGTATCTATATGCATCTATGTGTTTGTTTCTTTGTCTGCATCAGAACTTCAAGTTCCAACTAATAAAACCAGAAGCCTCAGCTGGCAGCCTGGTAGAGTTACTCCTACTTTTGGATAATTCCCAGAAAAAGTTTGGTTTTATTTAAGTTGTTTATTGGCCAGCCAAGCAGGATTCTTGACAATGAGAGGGGTGGAAGATATGCTCTTGCCCATGTTAAGAAATTGCAAGAATATGTCACACTTGAAGAGAGTACATTCCCAAATGATCAAGTTTTCTCTCGCACAAAGCAATTTCTTGGTGACCAAAATGGTGGATATTTGTGTTCAAATTGGTGAAATACAGTATGCAAGTTTGCTATTCAGGCAGGTTCTTGAGCCTAATATTTTCTTGTGCAATGCTATCATTAGAGCCTATACAAATAAACAGATGTATCTCTTGACAATAAATGTATACAAGCAGATGCTAAAACAGCCACAGGGTGAAGAGCCCATTTTCCCTGACAAATTTACATACCCTTTTGTTCTTAGGTCTTGTGGAGGACTTCTGAATGTTTGTTTGGGGAAACAAGTTCATGGGCATGTTTGTAAATATGGGTTGAGGTCTAATAGAGTAATAGAGAATTCAATGCTTGATATGTATGTGAAGTGTGATGACATGAGGGAGGCTCATAAGTTGTTTGACGAAATGGGTGAAAGAGATGTGATTTCGTGGAATAGTCTCATTTCTGGGCACATAAAGTTGGGTCATTTGAGGAGGGCAAGGTCATTATTTGATGAAATGCCAAATAAGAACATTGTGTCTTGGACAGCAATGATCTCCGGGTACACAAAGTTGGGGTGCTATGGTGACGCTTTGGATGTTTTTCGGAGAATGCAAATGGTTGGTGTTGAGCCTGATTGGATTAGTTTGGTTGCCGTATTGCCAGCTTGTGCACAGTTGGGTGCTCTTGAGGTTGGGAAGTGGATTCATTTCTACGCAGAGAAAAAGGGATTTCTGAGAAAAACTTGTGTATGCAATGCACTGATTGAAATGTATGCAAAATGTGGGAGTTTGAATGAGGCTTGGCAGTTGTTTGATTGGATTTCAGAGAGAGATGTCATCTCATGGAGTACGATGATTGGAGCGCTTGCTAATCATGGACGAGCTAATGAAGCAATTGAATTATTTGAAGAGATGATTAGGGCAAGGGTTGAACCAAATGAGATAACCTTTGTTGGTCTTCTATCAGCTTGTGGGCATGCTGGTTTACTGAACGAGGGTTTAAGGTACTTTGACTCTATGAGAAATAATCATACCATAGAACCAGGGATAGAGCACTATGGATGTTTAGTTGATCTTCTTGGGAGGACAGGGTGCCTTGAAAGAGCTCTCAAACTTATAAAGAGCATGCCAATGGCGCCAGATTCAGCTATATGGGGTTCGCTGCTCAGCTCTTGCAGAATTTATCGGAATCTTGAAATTGCCGTTGTGGCAATGGAGCGTCTCTTAGAGCTTGAACCAGATGACCCAGGGAACTACGTCATGCTTGCAAATATTTATGCAGACCTTGGAAAGTGGGACAGTGTTTCAAGAATGAGAAAATTTATTCGAAGTAAGAGCATGAATAAAACACCTGGTTGCAGTTCGATTGAGGCGAACAATTCAGTTCAAGAATTTGTATCAGGAGACGATTCAAAGCCATTTACCAAGGATCTGTATTGGATACTGAATCTGATGGCATCGCAGCAAAGTGAAACCAATGATCAGATAGATGCTATAACCATGTTAGAAGATATTAGATAAATCATGCATGGTCAGAGAAGCATTCAAAATTTACTTTTGCAGTATGCCGTGGAAACTGCAGACTGTCATTTCTGTGCTCTCTTCAGGAGTTCTGTTGGTGGAAATGGCTTTTTAATAAAAACACAGAGCACTTTGTTGGTAGAGGGTGATTTTCTACCTCTTTCCTCAACAAATTAGGTGCAAGTTTGAAGCTTAAGTAGTTGCATTGAAGCTTGGGGGCTGGGGGCCAAGCATCTTACAATTATTAAGCTAGACAGCCTTAGAAGCATGCAGTTTCAAATTATAGAATTAGCTTTGGAAAGAAAGAGTCAGCTCAAAAAGCTTTGGATATCCTGCTGTCAATGCCTTTTAGAAGGTACACGAACTTTAACAGCTCCGAAGGTTTCTTGCTCCCATATGAAGGTACACCACACCACCTTTTCTTCTAGCAATAAAGTTTCAAGGAGCACAATCAGTTGGAAATGCTCTCTTTTTTTAGTTTGGTAGTTTAGGAGAAAGAAGAATATATGTTTGTATTCTGAATATGTTGATATCTTCCAGACTGTATGATCTACCATCAATCAAAAATTTAACTACAAGATGTAATCAACTATCATTTTGGTGTTATTATCAATCCAATCTTTGCAGGGCAAAGGCCGCTCTACTAACAGTATGTAATTATGTTATCATAATTTTGGTACTTTAATCACGTTAACAATACTCTAACTATGTAATTACGTTTTTCTTTTTTGGCTGGGTAAATCAGTTTATATATTCAGCTAAAGTTTTCATTTGTAGGTTCTATTAGCAGAAGAACCGTTCCAGGACTCGCATCATTTTAGTACACGCTAGAACAGCAAGCCTACAGAGGTCTTTTTGGTCAGTTACAAGTACGCAAATCACACATATTCTGCATTCACTAGATGAATGTCAAGAATTAAAAACTCATACTTCAGAATACTATCTATCACTGAAAAAATAGGAGCTGCTTAGCAGCTTCCACAGCCCCCGAGTATGTTCTCTCATTCCTTGATATTTATTAAGGGACGCTGAATCTCCAAGGCAAATCTTTACAAACTGGTAAAGCGCAGGGAATGAAATTCCCCTCAATTTCTGCATCAGATATTATCATCTGCAGCAATAGAAACAGGACTCGAAAAACCCACAAAGTGCACACATCAATTTGAATCAAAGCATTATAATTTGAATTAACAAAATGATGAAGAACTAATTTTAACTATCTTAAATATTTGAGGCATTATTCTACATTCTACATTGAAGCACGGTAAAAGCTCCAAATGACAACAACTCCTTGGCAGAGATTATTAACTGCTACATGACAAAGCCAAAACAAATTTTACCAGCCGAGTTTTCCAGCCAATGAAAGGCCACAAATAACCGTTACTGCATAAATGCTACAGTCCATGAACATCGCACCTGTGACATCCTGCAAAAGGAATGCCAATTCCAGAGCACTCCCAAGTTGATCAGCAAAGCCAGTCTCACCAACCGAAGGACTGCTGGTTGGTTGCTGTTCAGGCCTCCCTAAACCTCTTTGCCTTTCTAGAAGCCGTGCTACTACAATTGTTACATTGGTCAGGAGAAGTAGATAAAGTGGTCTGAAAAATACAACGCTCTTAAAAAAGCTGCTACCTAATATTGGAAACCCCACAGAAGCCAAAACTACTAGTATGGCCACCACTAGGGCACACAAAGTGCGAGTGCTCTCTGTCGCTACAATTTCCAATTTCACTGCCTTAGGTGAAACAATTTTGTGAAAATGAGATATTGCCTCAAAATAGTGGTCTTTCTGGGAGACAAAAAGCTGAGGATCCTGAGCTGGTGATCCTTTGCCATCAAGATCAAAGGAAGATACTTTAGAGGATTCCATGCTACTCTCACATTCGCGCATAATTGGTCCACCTCTGTCCCCAGTCATAAAATGCTCGCTAATTTCACTGACAGAGTCAAGACTTGGTGGCAGTGACCCCGAGGATTTATCCTGGGTCTGGGGGGAAGCTACAGCATCTGTGAATAAGAGAATATTAAATGACAAAATGCCATCGACAAACACAATATCAACATGATCTCAACTTTCATACACATAAACTATTGCTGTTTTTCTGGGATAACAATAGCCCATCCTTCTGAGAAACAGTGCAATGGCTGCATAAGCAGCAAGAATCATCTAGCGGAGAAGTTCACAGATTTCACCAAAATTGTCAGAAAATCGGGACTCACAGTTATGGCCCAATCAGTAACTATTTTCTCGTAATTGGCCTGCTGCACTAAAACCTACAACAGATGAAATGAATTTTCTTCCCCTCTTCATCCCCATCCCGAACTCCAACAAAAGGATAGACAAATATCAAAACAGTAACAAGACAAAAGCCATCTTCACCATTACCAAAATCTAAACTTCACAGAGAAATTGCTAAAATCAAATTGATATCGCGAGTCCAGAATATCAATAGCAAGATGACAAAATATTCTCCAACCTTATATCCAGCTCAAGAAGTTATGCAGATGAAGAAACACATTCCCTAAAAACTTATACTAATAAATTGGAAACCAAATCTCAACATCTTCGATTCAATTTGCGCACATCCAAATATCATATATTAAACGCGTTAAAAAAATTATGCTAATTACAAAAAATTAGGACAATTAAATCAGACAATGTGATAAGTTTTCATAAGCAGATTGCTAAGAAATGTTACTGCGCGTTTACCGTGGGACTGAGAAATCGACGGCGGACATGAGGCGGTGTGGGAGTGGGAACCGTGCGAATGATCGGATTCGGAATCGGATGGGAGGGTTCGGATTTGGCCGGTGATTAGGGCTAAACGATCGGTTCCTCTGTCGACTATGCGACGTCGTCGACCTTCCCTGCCGCTGCTCATCCTGCAATATTCCTCGGTTGCTGCCGCAAATCTGTATTTGACGTTAGAAAGAATAAAAGAGAAGTGGGAAAGATAAAAATCAATTACTACAAAATTGTAAATTAAAAAGTTGAAGATTTTTCTTTTTTTTTTTTCTCTCAGAGAGGAAATAGAAGTTAGAGTTAAAAGACAGTAAGTAACTAAAGAAGATATTGAAAATATTTGTTTTCTTTTTTTAGCGCATAAAAGAATATATTTTTGTTTTGAAAATGTAATAAATAACAAGGGAAAAAAGATTTGTGAAACGTGTCAGAAGTGGGATTTGAACCCACGCCCTCTCACGAGGACCAGAACTTGAGTCTGGCGCCTTAGACCACTCGGCCATCCTGACTTGCGTGCTCAGTTTGCTGCTAATTGACTTATAGTTCATATTCTGTGAATTCAACAACGACCATCGATTTCTTCTTTCCCACTCAAAGCAGATTTTCCCCTCTTATTAAGGGGAGTGTTATTTCTTACTTGAATTATCAATTATGCTTTGATTCTATTAGTCCTTCCTTTGCGAGGTAATTTGTAATCCTCGACCCACAGCGCTCTAGAAAGGTTTAGGATTGTCTTTGAAAATATCTAGACGAAACGTCAAAAACTCTTATCCAATACCAATTTACCTAAGTTTACATTATAGAGCATATAATAGAGAGGTAAATTATTGAAGTAGGTTATGATTCATTGAAAAAATAGGTAAACTGTGGCCAGTAGATTTCTTAACATATTTTGTCCTATTTAAATTGGGATAATTTCAGAAACCTCCCTCAAGATTTTTTATCATATCACTCAACTCTCCTAAAATTTTTAAAATCTCACTTACTTCCCTTGAGTTAATGTTTCTTGTAATATTTTAACCCCTTTGGAGGAAATACAAGAAAGATAAAAACTTTTGTTCTAATACTATTCTTATATTATCCTAGTTATGAAATTTATAATAACAATAAAAAATAAAATAAGGTTAAATTTTTATAATGTGTAAATTTCTTAACTTAAACTATTTATTTTAGTTGTATTGGAACAAAAACAAAAATTACACCTTGAAAAATTCACAAGTATGAAGAGATTATTTTAGTTTTCAATACAACTTAAACTACACCATGAATTAAAATATATTTCTCCAAAAAATATCTTGACTTTCTTAATTGTAATTGTGTACGAAATTTTTTAAAGTGTTAACTACTCTCTAAAATCCTCCTAAATTGTTGATCTTGACTAGATTTAATTTATTCATGTCCTTTGCGATTCTACCATAACTGCAATGTAAAGAAATATAGACTATTATTAGCTAACAATTTTTTTTTAATTTACATTTTTTGCTTTTAAAATTTTATTTTGTTTTGACTTTTTGGTTAAATAGTTATTAAGAGTAAGGGTAATGTTGTCGACTGGTGATCTTTGATAGGAATATTTAGTCTTGTAAGTTGACAAAAGAAGGTAAGTGAGATTTTAAAAACTTGAGAAAAGCTGAGTGATATTATGATAAATTCAGTAGAGGTTTCTGAAATTATCCCATTTAAATTTCTTAATTACACCTTTACCCCCAAAAACCTGTATCTTGCCTGATCGCCATATAGCTTGCATTGAATTACTATCCATTCCTGACTACGCATCTGTTTTCTAAATTTGGCATTTGAAATTAGAAATCCTTATACTATATAAGAACGAGTTTAGAATTAGATTTCAACCGCAGGGGTGAGGCTATTTTGGGAATGTGAGAATGTTTAAAGAGTAATTGGAACATTGAGTACAAGTCATTATAGCTTTAATTTCATTATAATTACTTATATAACCTTTCAGACATTTAAGGTTAGGGGCAGGTTTGGTATGTTACAATATTTAGTGTCAAATTGAGTATCAAGTACAACTGAATAAAGTTTGTATTTTGATAGAATTACATAAATGTCCTTTTAATCATTTATTATACTAATATCCAAGCCTTCCAATTTCCTGAAACCTTTATCATCCGTTAAGGAATTAATTGGATGTTTACATAATTAGATTTTAATTATAATTAATTAACTTAATTATTAGCTGAACAATCATTATCATATTTATGTCCCTATGTTTAGCCGATACTCTTTCTTCTTTTTCGGTTTCCTTTAAATTGAGGTGAGTTCTTTGAGTTTGTCTTCTTTGATTGTAGTTTTTTTTTCTGATGATTGATTTATTCAAAAACTCCATATAGTTTACCTTTTGATACTTCTAATTCAAAAAACTGACTAATTGTATTGTTTTTCTTAGTAGATCCCAGAGATTCTGTCTCTGGTCAAAGTACAATTTGGGATAATGTTGTCGCTTTCTAAAATAATCAGAAAAGCAATTTTATCATCTTTTCTTCCTCAGCCAAGATATTATCTCTTTTTTAAAGTCAAATAACCTTATTTTTCATGAACTTTCTCATATTATTCTTGACTCCAGGGATCTATTGACTACATTCCAGTAGTTATGGTTCAAGTAGTTATTTTTTCATGTAATATGATTTGAAATTCAACTTGTGTTTATTTTAATTGAGAATTTTATGATTGTAAAATTTATTAACTTAGAATTTTGTATTTCATTGAAACTAAAAAAGAAAATTAATCATGCTACATAGTGCCAAGATGTCATTTGCACTCTATTTGTTTTCTATGTTATGATCTCGTTCTTGTATTATACTGTTTATATAGTTTCAAATACAAAAAATTTGTTTTTTTATACCATGTAAAAGAATTTGTAATGGAACTTGATGAGTTTAAATGCTTTAACTACAGCACCATTTTGATTGCATTGTATTAATTCATTTACTCATAATTGTATGTTATACAATGATAAATAATGTTTCTTGATTTGATTGAAGCAATTATTATCCATAGTTCAAACGAGTCAATTAAGTAGAGATGTTATATTAAATACTTATACAAGTAAACATTGAAAAATATCATTAAGCAGTTTCTACCTATAGTTTGCAATTCAAATTCATATGAGGAATTTCTTCTGATTTTACTTACCATTTTCTACAATTTCAATTTTAGAGAATATTATTTGCACCAATTGTTTATAATCAAGATAGTTTCAATTCAGATCTTTAACAATTATGCAGATTTGAACTTATTTATGAGATTATAAAGAAATACCCCTAGCAAAAAATACCAAATCTGAATAGTTTCTACAAAATTTTGAAAAATACCATTTAAGTTTCTTATCTATCTATCATTTTTAGATATTATTATCTCTGTAAGAAACATGTGATTAAGTCGTATTATACCCACCAAATTATATAAATAGTTAGTAAAAAATAAAATTATTTTAGATTAGATTGGACGCAAAATAATTGATGGATAAACTTGACTTGATAATTCAGATTGAGTTTAAGTCGATGGAGAAATCAGAAGCATTGCTTGAGAATCTTTCACGAATATATATAGATTCGAGAGATGAAAGGTCCAATTGATATTTTAAAATATTTTATCATATTGAATAAGTTTTAGAAGAGACATTTAGATACTTTTCAATTGCACTTCAAACATTTTTACATTTTCAAACTACCTTTATCTTTGCAGTTGAAATTCAAACATAACCTTTGATCACAACGGATTCTTATATAGTATAACGATAAGGATGTTTTATTGCACATTATTTTTATTGACTCACTATGTAACTTATCATTTTTCTATTAAAATCACACGATAAAATCATCATACTTCAGTTCCTATACTACAAAATATTAAACAATAATTATTAATTATCTTGAATCACAAGCACCAAATTCCCGCGCGTCGCGCGGGCTATCCTTCCTAATAAAGAAAAGAAAAACGAGTATAACGTAACATACTTCAACGAACCTTACGAAGCGGCAGCAAAGCTGACCATAGAGGAGCAATTGATTGTCTAAGTCCCTGTTTCCTAACGTCTCCTCTTTTATCATCCGATGTGACGTCGCTTTGTTTGGATTGAACAAAATTACACTTTATTTACACCTTATTTACACACACTGATTTATTTGAATCATCAACACATTTTTCAATCACCTTTTTATTTCACATACATCATATCAAAAAAATGCTACAGTCCTTTTTCATAAAAGGGCATCAAATCATGAACTGGGCAGTTTGCAGTAATAGCCTGATAATAGTGCCATGGATTTAAACATTCAAATTCAATCTAATAAAGTTAAGCTGATCTACCACAGCTTCTATTCTTTCCAATAGCAAACTACATTTTTACATCTGTCAAAATTTTGTTTCTGAAAGACAACACAATTAGTAACATCCCTTGTTACCTAACCTACTTCCAATCCCAATTCTTTGAGCTGCCTGATGCATCAATGTCAGTAGCAGCATCCTGTGATGCGTTTCTGCAGATTCTTACTCTCTTGTTCACATCTTTTGGCGACTTTTCATCATCTGAATCAGGGACAATACCAGACTCCATAGCAGCGTTGACTACAGGTCGTTGCCTCAATCGGTTCTTTGTAGTTAAGCTTACAATTTCTGGAATTTTCATGTTGGTATTCCCACCATGTCTCTTACAGCCACGTGAAGCATTGGATTCATGGACTAACCAACCATCCAAATTACGGAACACAGGGTTTAAACTATTTTTCTGGTCAACTTTGTTGTTTCCCTCAAACAAATTTATTACCTCTTTGTCGACATCAACACCAACATCCTCAGAATCATCATTTGCATTCAGACCCTCATAAGTGAATTCATGCTTCTCAGAGTCGGTGTCACTCTCAGTAGACTGACTCTCCCTTGAGTGGCCAGAATTTGAAACATCAATAGAGAGAATTTGATCCTTTCTTCCCCGCACATCATGCTTCACTTCACACCTTAGCTGTTCAGTTGTCTTCTTGTTTCTGAAATGCAAGTGGGATTCAGCAGGAGCAATATCTAGCTAAGTTTGAGATATGTAACATCTCCCATGGCACACAAGCATTGATGTCCAACATGGTATGATGGGACACTGAAGGAAGAAGTACCACTATTGCACTATTAAAATCTTAAAATGATAAGAAAGCGATTAATAAGGCTAGAGATAACTGGAAGCTGCATGCCCTTTACACTAGAGTCACAGAGGCCCGTCAGACCTGGCATAATGTTCA